ATGATGATTCCCAGTCATAACACAGAACAGAGGTGGGCGTGTGCAGTCCTGAAAATTATTTGCCCCTGTAAGTGGCATCAGTGTCTCTGGATTCATGGGGAACCCTGATAGTTAGTGCAAGCTAATTATTCAAAAGTCTACACTGACCCATCACACATACTGGGCTCTGAGGAGACACCAAGAGGAGAATACAGCTGGTGGCTAACCTTGGTCTGTCATAGAAAAGAAATTCTGGATGTCCAACCTCAAGGGCTTTTTTACCAGCTGACAAAGAAACAATGGTGGTGGTGGTGATGATGATGGTGATGATGATGACATGTATGGGGGCTTGTGAATGAAGGAGGTTGAGTGGTAGCTGCCAGCCAGATCAGTGGCTGCCTTCAATTCTGAGTGGCCACGAGTGGCAGGAATTGGGTGAGGTAGAGATTCATTTGGGAGATGATGGACATACTATTCCCAGTGGCCTGAGACTAACATTAATTAGGGAAAATCAACATACAGCTCCCTGACAGAAGTCAAAAACCTAAGAGAGAATGCCCTCGGGGCTCTACAGTTATTCGAATGTTACTTATTTTGCTAGAAAAGAGACAACAGGCTCTTTTTACTATTTAAGTAACATTCCAATGGGTTACATTGGGGCCCAAACTGTCCCATGAGCTGATGCTGTCATTTGTCTCTATAGTGGTGTGCACAATGACTAACCTAGTTGGAAGGAACTAGCATTCATTTATTCATTACATCATTTATTCCACATTGTTAGACATTTAGCAGATAGTTAATATCTATTGACAGAAAGTCTAGTCAAGTCCCATTACACTTATTCTTTATATTTTATGTTTTACCTTAGAACACTTTTTAATACAGCTTTACTCCAGTCAAGCTGAATTTTCTTATTATTTCCCAAACGTTCCTTGGATTCTCTTACCATGACACCTTTGCACAGACCATTTCTTTCACCAAAATGACTCTTCTGATAAAGTTTATGCTGATCTCCACTTCTGGTTCAATCTCTGAAACTCTCCTCTGGCCGGACTGCTGACTGCTACTTTGTGATCTTGCCCCTCGTCCCCCCGCTTCTCTCCCCAGCACCCTTAGGCTGCAGTCGCCGCCAGCTCAGAGAGTCGCCATCCCAGCTCAGGTGTGCCCTCTGTAGGACACCCATGGCACTCTGCACCCTGCAGGAAGTGAATCTCAGTCTCCCCCACCCCCGCACTGCTCCCCACTCCTCCATCACATTCTGCCACAGTGCCACCCCACACCCACTCACATGGGAATGAAGTCTTCATCCTTTACCTCTCGTCTACTACCAGTGCATCATCTGAGTTGCAGCCATCAGATCCCTGTTCCTTAACTTCCTACATATGCCTCAGTGATGCCCCTTCCCAGCTAGCTCCAATACGGATGCCAGAGGTCAGGTTCCACCATCTTTTCCAACAGCATCTACCTGGGTTCCACATTTTGGGGTTGTGTCTATAGAACTCAGCCTCTGCTCAGTCACCAAACACGTCGCCTAGAACACAACTAAGACCTTAGCAAGCCTTTGCCAAAAGTTGTTTAACAGTTCGCCCTCCTCACCTGAGAGCAACTTCAGCTCCTTGGCAGGGTCATGCAGGCTTCCCTAAAGTTCCTGATGCTTACCTGTCCATTCCACACCTCGAAATGTATGTCCCGTGAACTTCAAACCACTTATAATTGCCTTCTTCTTCTTGATGCCTTTCATTCCCTTGCCTTTGATCATGCTGTGCTGTCTGCCTGAATGCCTTTTACTTCCTCCTCTGTACCCTGCACACTTGGGCTGTTCCTACTCATATTTGGAGCTTAGCTCCAGAGGACTCATTTCACAGCCTGCTAACAAGCTGTGTCAGACTCACCTTCTCTGTGGCCCCATTACATTTTGTAAATCTCTTTGTACTCATTTCATTCTATTACAATTATCTGTGTATGTGCTTATCTCTCCAACTAGCTATCTGTCGGATCTTGTCTGTACCACAGGGCTGGTGTCATTTAATATCTCTCATTCCATCCTAGAGCATTTAAACTAAACATTTACTGATTCAAAGAGTCAAATGAAAATTGTATTTACCCCTCAGAATTTTTAGGGGCATAAAACGAGGTAATGTTTACAAACATGACTTAAAAAACTTAAGACTACTTTACAAATGTTAGTGATAAAGTTGATGTGATGTTGATGTTGATGTGATACTGATATTGACATTGGTGTTGGTGGCGATGTGATGATGCTGGTGATGGTGATGATGATGGTATTGATGATGATGATGGTGAGGGTGGTGGTGATGGTGAT